ATAATTATGGTATTTATGGAATGTTGGGTGCAAGGCAAATTAGAAATCATGTTCTAGATAAACTAAGTGGTTACATGAAATGCTTTAAGGTAGCAGTATTTTTTAAAAAGCTGGTAAATGGCACTGGCTTTTTTGAATTTTATGAACATAAGAAGAGCCTGCAGGATCAGACCACTGGCCCATCTAGTCCAACATCCTGTTTTCACAGTGACAAATCAGTACCTGTGGGGAAGCATGTTTGCAACAGCTTCTGCCACCTTGCATTCCCAGTAACTGGTATTCAGGGAATTCAGATATTGTATACTTATAATGATGTTAGCCACTCTGAGCCCAGCTCGGCCAGGGGGGTGGGGGTACAAATATTTTATTTATTTATTTATTATAGTGGGAGGTAGAACAGGGCGTCATGGTTAGTGGGCGCATCAGCAGGAGGGGGCCTTATTAGCTAAGTGGTGCTTCAGGTTAAGAACAGTTTCAGGTTAAGTACAAACCTCCAGATCTAATTAAGTACTTAATCCGAGGTAGCACTGTAACTACAAGTTAGTTCAGATGTAAGAAATTGTGGTTAGTTAAACCAGAAAGCAACTTCTTCCAGAGACACTCTGGCATGCACTGAGGAAGCTGCTGATGGTGCTGCCCAAGCAATCTTACTTTTTTAATGCTAGGCTGTGGTTTATCATTACGTCCAGGACTGCACCTTTAAATTATATATGGCTCACCTTACTCTCAGTAATGCTTGACTGCATTTGCAATGTGTTCCTTTACAGCGCCCAGCTCATGGATTCCAGCCTAACATGAAACTAGAAGCTGTAGACAAGAGAAATCCCATGTTAATTAGAGTGGCAACCATAATTGAAAAAGATGACCATCGTGTCAAGGTATGTGCATTCAAATAAGCCATGGTGCTACTCTAAGATTATGAAAAGAATATTGCATTTGAGCTTTCAAGAAAGAAAGCATCTTCAGCAGTAATATGACAGCTTGATCTTAGTCCCCCCCATGAATTGCAATGCTCCTGCTCACTATTGCTGGATGCTATTGTAATGCCACTTATTCTGGAATGACATTTCTGAATTGATTTTTCTTCCCCTTGAGCAATCTCTGTATGAATCTAACATAAATTTGCCATGTTAGAGCTCTCATACCTTGAGGGTGACTTGCAATACGAACCTCAACATCAGGTTAACCTCATTTTTTTTTTAAATGCTGAACGCCTCCACTCACCATCCTGTAATGAGTACATAAACACATCAACTTTGCATTCAACTCATTGTATAAAATGGAGGTTTGTCAGATACAAAGACTGAAAATCTCCCTCAGTTCACAGAATAGGTGAAGCAGCAGCAGATTTTTCTCAAGTGCTCCTTAGTGGGCTCCTTCAGTTTTATTTATCAGAATTGGATTTAGGCTTAAGAGCCCTCTTGCAAGGTCAAGCAATGATGCTTATAGACCAGCATTCTGCCTCTGAAGTGCCTAATTCAAGATGCTCTAGAGGAAGCATATAAGAGACTAAGAAACTAAGAGTCTCCAGTTGAGCACCTTACTGTGGTTTCATTAATAACTATTGATATGCCTGTTGACTATACATTTGTAATTTTCCATTGTTGGGTATCCACAGTAATTCTATTCTGTTTATGTGTCAAAAAGGTTCTTCTAGTTCTAATGCTGTAGATTTTGTGTTATGGGTAAACATTCATTAGAAGTCAAAAGTGATGCCATAAACTGATATCGGAACCAGCAACTTAGATTTACCTAAGAATATTACACAGAATATTTTACCCAGAATATTATTTTTAACCCAGGAAACTTAGCTTTACTGGGCAGTTTGGGTGGTTCTCCCCCCCCCCTACTTGGCTCACTGGCTCCAGAAGGCAGTTCTTGGGGAGCATTGTTTGACTCCATGAGTTTTCCAGTATGGAGTCCTGCAGGGGTCAGTCCCGTCCCTCATGTTGTTTAACATCTAAGTGGGGTCCTAAATAGTTTTGGAGTGTGTAATCAGTATGCTGATGACACACAGCTCTATTTCTTCTTTTCATCTTCTGCAAGGGAGGCAGTGGACATGCTGAATCAGTGCTTGGTTAAGACTGGATGAGAGCAAATAAACTGAAACTTAATCCAGGGAAGACAGGTGCTGTTAAGTGGGTGCTTCCTCTGTCTGGCTGAGTGGTGTGCAACCTGCTCTAGATGGGATCACACTCCTGAAAGAGCACATTCATAGTTTGGAAGTTGTATTGGTTGCATTGCTGTCACTTGAGACACAGGTTGCCTCAGTGGCATGGCGTTCCTTCCTCCAGCTTAGGCTGGTGGCCTAACTATGACCCTGTCTGGACAGGGATAACATGGCCACAGTAATCTATGCTCTGGTAACCTCAGGATTGGACTATTGCAATGCATTTTAAATGAGTCTGCCTGTGACATTTTATTTCCTGGCTTTGTTTGTGTATTTATTAACTACAGGTGTATATTGCCTTTTTACACATATCTTCTCAAAGCAGTTTACATACTGTTTTAAATTCTGTACATAAAATGATAAAACAGTTTCAGAAATGATTCAAAAGCAATTCAGACTTATATCCATGGAGCACAGTGGCTGCTAGTCCTGATGGTTATAGCAACCTCCAAGTTCAGGGGCAGTATGCTGCTGAATACCAGCTGCTGGGGAGCAACAACAAAAGAGGGCTTCTGCCTTCATTTTCTGCTTGTAGACTTCCAGAGGCTCCAGTAGGAAACAGAATTGTAGACTAGCTGTACCAAAGGTATGATTCAGCAGGGCTCTTATGTTCAAAAAGCACACATCCAGGTAAATCCCTGGTTGGGGGAGAGTTTCACTTTTGTCTAAAGTAAAACTAAGGAAGATCAAAAGACTCTCCAGGGAATGTATTCCACAGCTCCAGAGCCACAACCAAAAAGATTCTGCTCCTGTTAGAAGCTCTTAGAGTTGTTACAAGAAACATTATCTTATGATAATGAAAATGAAATAGAGATGATGAAGCTGTTAAGAGGTATGGATATGAACATGCATAGAAGAATAAATAGACTATGTACGTAAATGTAGAAGAAAAGATGATGTCTATCTGTAAATTTTAAAATGCAATTAAAATTAATTTTAAAAGGAAAACAAGAAACATTATCTTATAACTTTCATTCTTTCTTCCTCCAATATGGGTTTCCTCCTCTTTAGATACACTTTGATGGCTGGGACCACAGTTTTGATTTTTGGGTTGATGCTGACAGTCCAGACATTCACCCCATGGGCTGGTGTGCAAAAACTGGACATGCCTTGCAACTCCCACCAGGTGAGACAAAGAATAATGTTGTAGTTTCTTTCTCCCCTCCTTACCTAATTATTTAAAACAAGACTTTGAAATCTATTCCTGAACAAGTTTTGTTTTTCTAGGGACTGCGGACCCATCAGGGGCAGTAGGACAGGGATGCCCTACTCCTGGTTGTCAGGGATTGGGTCATGTCAGGGGACCCAGATATGGAACGCATTACACGTACGTGTGCCCAAGAGTTATGGGGTAATTGCCAGCAGATTGTAGGGCAATATGTATCAGTTGCCCAGCACCTGTTTATCAAGTAATGCAGCTTCAGTGAACTACAAATATGAATGCGTGTCTCAGTTATAAAATGCTGTGCTTCTAGCTCCCTCTTGTGCTTTGTATTTGGCTTCACTGACAAGCTTTGTACTGACACCACAGAAAAGTAGCATCAGAACCTGGCTATACATATTACAGCTACTCACATGAAAGAGGTAGCTCTAGCTGTTTAGATTCTCATGGTTTCATTCCCAAAACTTTGCCAGCAAGAAGGGAAAGTTGGAGTGGCTTGAAGAGGTGTCCTTGAACATTCTCAACCCACCCAGGAGAAAGTTGAGACAAAGGAGCAAAGAACAGCTCCTTAGCTTGGGAAAGGATTTGTGTTTCATAGTTGGGTGTGTGTGTGTTTAGGATTTCCAGTGTTTGTTGGGCAAAAAGCCATTAAATTGCTTCTCCCCAATAAACTCTGTAAGATTTAAAAACTAATAAGGCAAAGTCAGTAAGGCAAAGGCAGGACTCCCTCTTTTAACCAAGGAGCTGTTTCTACTACTTTGACTCATTGACACTCTCATAAGTCTTTCTAAACATGAAACTAAAACCAAGCTGTGCAATGGGATTCTTGCCGTTAAAATACAGTGGTGCCTCGCAAGACGAAATTAATCCGTTCCGCGAGTCTCTTCGTCTTGCGGTTTTTTCGTCTTGTGAAGCACGGCTATTAGCGGCTTAGCGGCTATTAACGGCTTAGCGGCTTTAAGAAAAAGGAAACAAACTCGCAAGAACTCACAAGACGTTTCATCTTGCGAAGCAAGCCCATAGGGAAATTCGTCTTGCGGAATGACTCAAAAAACGGAAAACCCTTTCGTCTAGCGAGTTTTTCGTCTTGCGAGGCATTCGTCTTGCGGGGCACCACTGTAGCTGACTGCAGATATAGGCTCTGGCAGGATACATGGTGCAGCACTAAAAAAGTGCAAGATTACATGGACTCCTCTGCTTTGCATCTTGCTTTCTGCGTAATATTTCCTACATAAAAAAGGGAAGATTCATAGCCTACTTCCTCATGAATTTCGGGATTCTTAAAGACCTCCAGAGTGCTCCTTTTTGTTCTGTGCCACTAAGCTGGTGCAGGATTGCATATTAGAATGTTCCCCCATGTTAAAAACTCCCAGATTGTAAAAAGGTAGCATATTGGGATAAGGAGATTGTTTTTTCCTTCCTTCAGCCTTCTCCCTTGATGTGCTAACTGGCCGTTTAGAGGAAGCTCTTTATGTGGGGGAACAAACATGATGCATATATTTTGCGGAATGACAATATTGTTGTTTTGTTGTTTTTAGTTATTTTGAATTTGTATACCCCCTCCACAGCAAAGCTCTCTGAGTGGAAATACATTAAAAACCATTTCAAATAAAAAAAAGTTTTCACCTGTCACCTGAAATCCAGAATGGAAGGTGTAAGTGAACTTTCTTGGACAGATAGTTTCATGGCTGATACATATATACTGTCTTTTAATCCAGAGATCTCAGAGTGAGGGACAATTAAGCTTCAATAAATAATGGTACCAATAAAAATCAGGATACATAAACCAGCAGTAAAACAACCAGATTGGCATAAAATCAATCACACTTCCCAAATGCCTTTGTGAAAAGACACGCTTTAAGCTGGCATCAGAATAACATCAACATAAATGTTTGTCAAATCTTAAGGTGGATGAGATTCCAGATATGGGAAGAGGTGTTTGTTCAGATAGGCAAAAACTTGTGTTTATATTATATTATTTTTGAGGGAGGCAAAGCTTGATTTACAGGAAGGAGAAAGAAACTTGTGTTTAAAGGTCAGGACCATTTGGGGTGGGGAAGAGTAACCAACCTAAGTTTTCTCAGACCTGTATAATATGGTCCCAGTGTCCAGAACAAGTGATGCAATTCTTTTGGAAGACTAGGTTGGCCTTGAGAATCTTAGCCATTGAAAAGGCCGCCGAAATGTAGGCGTTTTGTAGCAATTGCCTTTCTGTGTTTGTGCCAGCTCACATCCCCACCTGCTCCTTTTGCTTCCTTCTTTAATGTGTGTGTTTATTTTTATTATTATTTCTTTATTTGTAAAATTATTTATATTCCACCTTTTGGGGCACAGCCCATCAAAGGTGGCTCACAATATCATAAACTGATGATTAAATACAGTGGCTGAAAACATGGACAAAGGCAGCAGCATTAACAATTATTACAAGGGTGGTTAAAACAAAGGCTAAGAAACAACTATGCAGAGCTACATTTTGAAACAGCTCCAAAGCAAAAGCCTTTAGGAAAAGGCAGTTATAAAAAGATGAGTGTTGTTGTTTTTTTAAAGACTTGTTCTTTTCTTCACTCTTCACTCTTCTCTTGAGCTGACCCACCATACCCCCTGCCTCTGGCTAGCTTTTTATGTGCCCTGTTTCCTGAATTCTGGGCAAGATTTTACTTTCATTCATGTTGCCCCAAGCTCATTCAGCTACTCGGTGTTGTTGAAGAGCAGTCATTTTGGCAGCTGATGTCCTTCCCTCCTCCTTTCGCTGAAAACTGCATCTCTCTGCAGAATTTCTGTTTTAGCCTGTGGCTGCTAAGCATTTACTTCCCAGGAGCCTTTATCTTACATGCCTGCCATTTGTTGCTCTTGCAGAGTTGCTGTATTATACTGCTTTGCTAGTTAGTATAGGCCTCAGAGGGAGAAGGTGGAACAATTGGGTTGCATAATATTTTTCTTGTGGAAACATTTTTCTGCTTTTGATGTAGATTAGTTGGCTGCCCATATTCTGAAATCAATCGCAGCAGGGAGAGTTCTTTACAAGATCGTCTTGGTGGAGAAAAACCTTCACCCAGTGCTATTGTTCAGAAGCCCAAGAAACCTGAGACTTCTGCAAGACTTACAGACCTTCAGGAAGACTCTCCACAGTCCAGGTGAAGTTTTAAACTAAACCTTAAGGCCTACTATAATATTGGGCACATTTATTAAGCTACTCTTGCACTGGTCTTGCTTTCCACTTGCCCCAGACTCTCCAGAAAAGCTTGCCTGGTGCCAATATTGTGATCTTTTTGGTGCCAGGCAAAGATGTCCATGTTCTCTCAGGCACTTGAACAATAATACTGTGTTGGTTTTGTGGCCTTTTCCTGACAGCAGTTGTTGTTAACCCTGCTGCTGGGTGGGGAAAGATTCTTGTTTTGTGACTGATTTTGGTGGGGAACATTTTTGTGTATTTTTAATTGCCCCACAGAACTTAATTAGAGTCGCTGACACCGTATCCTATCCTGAGGACTTTACCAGGCTTTATCTGCACAATCACAACCCTTAATTTGTGAGGATTTGCCCTGAGTTCTAATTCATGGCTAGTTGGGAAGTGGTTTTTATAGATATAAATATTGTATTCTTAGTAGAAAATCATCCACACAAGATGGGGAGAGATCAGGACGGAGCAGTGTCCACAGTCTTTCTGAGCAGTCTGAGACCAGCCAAGAGAAGGACTCAGTGGAAGGGGAATCGTCTGCTGTTACTAAAATCAAATCAAAAGGGTAAGCAAAGTTGTTCAACTTGTCAAACCTACTCCTAATAAAGTTTCCCACCTGCACCATTTAGTTTTGAAGTGAAGGGAAAATGTTGGGATACTGATTACAGATGCAAGGGTAGCTTTCAAGGAGCATTGAACAAATTCATGGAGTATCAATAAATGTACCTGAACAATTTGAAAATCAGTTAAAAGTCACTGAGTCAATTTCCAAACCATTTTTTTACATTACAATTGAGTGATCCTCATCTGGCACTGGACCCAACAATTTCTATTCCAAAGGGGTTAGCGGCCTGTGTCAGCATAAACTTAAAAAGTTTTAAAGGGTAGCATGTATTGTGACATACGCATTTGTGAATCAGAGCTCATTTTATCAAATGCCTGGCTAAACATGCTACAAAAAAACATTTTAAAGTCTTTTATTCAGCTCCGTGATTTAAGTGTTCTTTGGAGAAGTAATTTTGTCTCTTCTGTATAATGGTTTGCCTTACTGCCCAAATCTGTGTTTTCAGGATTGGTTGCTCACGTAGCTATATACAGCTCCAGCTAGTGAAGCAGGAGGCTGATGGAAGAGGTTAGTTAATTTTGTGTTTGTGCTTTTTAAAACCATTGAAACAATTGTGGAGTTACTGGAAATTTGGTCATGAAAATTATATATTTTGCTAAATGGGTGGTTTCAATGATAAGGTCAAACTATTTGTTTTGATGCTTGCTGCCGCTTACATTTCTCCCACCTCTTTTCCTCTGGCAAACCTGTTAAAATGAATGTTAATTGTTTCTGCAGAGATCGAATTACTCATTGGAGAGCCATAAGTGTTCCATCTCTTTCCACTGACCACTGGTCAATATAACAGGTGCAATCCACAGGGAGAGCTTTCTTCACTAGAGAGATTTCCCTGCTTCAGTTCAGAAAAATCTACAATCCGTATAAAAAAGTGAGGGCCCACAACAAAAAAGTAGTGTATCCCCAGCCCATAATTGCTCATCTTCTAGCAAGCTTATAGCACTAGCGCACAGAGGAGAGGTTTCAGGAAGTGGGAAAGGAAGAGGTTGTAGCTCCCCCCTCCTTTCTCACTCTTCCAAAAACTTCAACCACTTGTGCTGTAACAGCACCAAACAGCTTTATTGTTATGTATTTGGGGGAGGAGTCATGTTGTTTCCCTAACAACCTCCTTGTAAAATGCAGGGAGGGGAGTTGTACAATCTCATCATAAGCAGCCCCTTTGAGCCCTAGTATTCCTCAATCATTTTTAAACTAGGGGAGGAGTAAGAACACAGCATTTCACAGACTGTTCAGTCCTTGCTCTCTTATAAGCAGTATATTTTAGTTATTTGAAAATGCCACTAGATGTCACTACAGACCTTTACATTAACCATCACTTAAAAGGTCCTGGTGTTTTGAAATACCTTTCTTTTTGTGTATGTGTCCCGGTGGAGGAGGGGGAGCGGCAAACATAATTAGCTAATGTTGTTAACCCAATAAATCATGCTAATGTTGTTAATCAAAGAAATTGTGCCATGCCATGTTAATCAGTGGCTCCAGTATATGCTGCATAGATAGCCACAAATCTTTACTGCACCATGACACAGCAATAATCAGATGATCTTTTATATATGAGAGGGATAGAGAGGCAGGCAGGCGGGAGATGTTTTCTTGTTCTTAATGCCTCTATTGTTTGACAAATGGAGACTGATACTAACGTCTGGAAGGAACTGCCAACCTTCCTGACCTTGGAGTCATCTCTCCAGGGATGTGACCAGTGCTTGTCATTATCTTGTATGCAGAGTGCTCTGAACAGGCTGGATACAAACTGTAAGCTGGAATGGTGCCATTAATTTCCATCTGAAGATGCAGTTACCCAACCTCCTCCTCCCTGGCAATCCCTCCTGTGTTAGCATCGGGGCATCTCTTCCCTGAGAGCATCTGTAACAGCACAGGGCTTTCTTCTTTACCTTTTTCGGGAGGGATGCTCTGAGCACATCCAGCCCTGCACTTCTAAATTGCACCTGAACAAGGACTGACTCATCTTCTTTCCTTCCCTGCCCTCCCTCTTCCCAGACACAGCATTTGCTCTGCAGCAGGCCCTCCACCAGTCTGTCTTCATGCCTTCCCTTTCTGCAAACCCTACCCACCGCCTCCATCTCTGCTGGGAGCAACACTGCAAGCTGCTGCCGGAGGTCTCTGGCCTCACCGCCAAGAATGTGGCCAAATGGAGTGTTGAAGAGGTGAGTTGTGCTTCCTGATTTCCCCCCCTGTCTAATTGGAAAGCATTTTTAATACAGTGGTAGTGATTCTTTTCTTCCTCTGCTTTACAGCTGTGGCTAATTCAGAACTTTCGATCAAGACACATAGATTTGCACTGATCCTTCCTTGTGCAGCCATGCCACTTTTACCAGCTGCCCCCTTTGGGGCCTCTTTCGACAATGGCCTTTTCTGTGCTTGTCTGCTGCTGACTCACTTTACATTGCAATTGTCCTGCGCATGCTTGCATGACTGTGGCACAGAATACCCCCACAGTTTGCATGATTGCTGACAGACAGACCCATTCTGTTGAGACTATGGGTTTACAGTCAAAACTAACGTTGTGCTTTGCTGCAAGCCAATATGTTTCCCCTGCAGTCAGGGATTGAGTGACACAGCATATCTGAGCCGTGTACATTTGCACCAGTTGCCTTGGGAGTTAGCAATCGCTATACCACAGGCTGAAAGTGGCAAAGAGTGGTTTTGTTTGAGCTGATGTGAGTGGGTAGATGAAAGTCCATTTAGTTTGACGGTCACTTGGCCCTATTTTGAAAATGTATAAATTATACTTTTTTCAAGGGTTGTGCTTCATAGTAGTTGCAGTAGTTGTTCCTGTAAAATTTATTCATTTATGCTTCAAAATTTGGAGATGTTTGATATCATGAAAGACTGACACTTCAAAAGTTTGAGCCAAATGTTACTACTTCATCATTAACATGTTGTTATGATTATTATTTTGATTAATACAAATATATGAAGCTATCTTATACTGGTTTTGATATAATAATATGATTTGCCATTACATGAATGAGACTCGACTCACACATTCACCTTTCTTGCTCCCGCAAGGCCATGAGGAGGAGATATAAAGCTTTCATAGAAACATAGAATTGCAGAGTTTGAAGGGGTCCCAAGGGTCATCCAAACCAACCTCCTGCAATGCAGGAATCCTGCCCACAGTCATCCCTGGGTGGGCTCGAACCATCAAACTTCTGGTTAACAGCCAGAGGCACTGACCCATTGTGCCACATTCAGTATTATGCCATACCCTCCAGAAGCTGTTGTGCTGCACCTTTTATCGTCCCTGACTATTGGCCATGCTGTCTGGGGCTGATGGGAATTTGAGTCCAATGCCTGGAGGGCACCATGTTGGTCACCCCTGGGCTTTAACTATGATTTATTAAAACAAACCAAATGAGTATGCTCTTGACTGCCATAGTTCTCCTTCCTAGGCCAGAGAGTAATTGTTGTGAATATCCCTCTCAGTCCTTTTTAGCCAAAGAGAGGCAGCTGCAGTAGAACTGTAGCTTTCATTCTGGCCTAAGCCAGAATACATCAGTCGGTCAAGCATTGCAAAAATATAGAACTCCAGATACAGATTGCTTCACAGTTACATAGTGGTCCCTATTCTGGCCTGGAGAAAGAGTGAGGTGACTGGAGCTTGAAATATTTTGATTGGGAGGAGGAGATTACTTCTTTGCATAGGGTACAGTCATAGTTAAACTGTGGAACTCACTCCTGCAGGAGGCAGTGATGGTACTTGGATGGCATTAAAAGAGGATTAGGCAGATTCATGGAGGATGAGGCTAGCAATGATGGCTATGAGCAATGATGGCTATGCTCTGCCTCCACAGTTCAAGGCAGTAATGTTTCGGAATAGCAGTTGCTGCTGGAAGCCACAGGAGGCAAGTGTGCTCTTGGGCTCAGACCCTGCCTGCAGGTTTCCCCCAAGCATTTGGTTGGCCACTGTGAGAGTAGGATGCTAATCTAGAGAGGGCCATTGGCCTGATCCAGCAGTTTCTTGTGTTGTTATGAGGGGGGAACACTTGCTTGTCCAACTTAAAGCCTCCTCGACTAGTTTGACTTCTGAAGGAGAAAAGCTATATATTCAGAATACAGCTCTTGAGACAACACTATAAAATAGTTGAGCTCTTTTTAAAATTGCTGATCAAACAATTCTTAACGATAATATTCTTTCTGCCCACCATGCTCCTTTAATCCAGTTAAACTCTGTAATTGCAGGGGGAGAAAATTAAACCCGCTATCATGCTTCATTTATTTTCTTCACCTTAAATATCCTTGAGTTTATCTGTATTTTGGAGAAGAACATCTCATTCCAATTTCAAAATCCTGGCTGTAGAACTCCTACTTAGTGGGTCTGGCTGCACAGACATTCCCTAGCCAATCATCTTCCTAGGATAGGAAGTGAAATTTATTGGTATGTGGCACTTAATTTGCTTATCACAAATGCTCTAAGCTCAGAAGGAACAGCACTGTGAAATCATTGGGGAACTGCCCAACTTGCATTTTGATCTTATGCATGTTTTCTCAGATGAAAGCCTCACTAGGTTCAATGGGGCTTTCTCCCAAGTAAGAGGCAAAGGCTGCAGTTCTGTGCTCATTAGTATTTGAATCCTGAATGTGTCATAGTGGTAGTGGAAGCAGCAGTGCTTCTGAATATCAGTTGCTGGAAACTACAGGGGGCAGAGTGCTGTGTGTTCAAATCCTGCTTACAGGTTTCCCACAGGCATCTGGTGGGAAACCTGTAAGCAGGATGCTAGACTTGATTGGCTGTTGGCCTGATCCAGCAGTCTCTTCTTGTGTTCATCGTAACATGGGCGGAACTGAACTTTGCTTATGAACTTAAAATTGGAACAAGGAACCCAAAGGGGAGGCCTCCAGCATTAAGTAGTAAAACTAATGAAACCAAAGAGGACATTTTAAATTTAATTTTAGGAAATTGCTGCAGAAGTAGGAGTGTTTCTCCTTCATTGCAAAATCTCAAGGAAAGGCTCGTTCTGAATAATCTTTACCCTCTAGTGAGAACTTATCATTTGAGTGCTGATTATTTCTCAAATGCTCCTTAAAATGTTTTCTAAATGTAACTGGCTGGGAGGGTGATTTTGTATCATGTGTGACAGTTTTATCTCCCTTTTAGTTAATCCCACAGAAGAAATTAATACATGGATGGGAATCCTGTCCAAAGCTTAGCAAGGCTGGTTCCTCTTTGCAGAATTTCAAAACGACAGTGTCAAATCCTACTTCCTTTTGTGCATTTTTTTTTTACTGCAAACAAACACAGTTTAAGGCGTTTGCTGGGTGAACTGAGGATTTTTTACAATAGTGGCACCATCTGCAGTGCAATGGGATGTGTTTAACAATGTCCAAATTCCTAGGTTTCGCCTCCCCACACCTTAATGTGGGGCATATGATGGAAATTACCCTTAGCAGTATCCATTGGAATTTAATCTGATCTTGCCCCCTACCAGCTAGGAGCAACTTTTCATCTCTATCCCTTCTTTTCCCTACATGGGCCTCCTCCTGGGACCATTCTTTATTCTCTTGTGCATGTTGCCATTCATACAAGGAAGGCTGGGGCAACTTTTGATACAGCCCTTGAGAAGGTGCTGTAACTCAATGGCAGAGCACATGCCTTGCATGCAGAACACCCCATATTTAATCCCTGGCATTTCTAGTTTAAAATGTTCAGGTTGTAGGTGGTATGAGAGACCCCTGCAGGAGTCTCTCGAGAGTCTTCGTTAGTCACAGTAAGCTGTACTGTTCTTACTGGACAAACAGTCTGACCTGGTGTAAGGCAGCTTCCTGTGCTCAATAACCCCATATTGCTGTCATTACTGTATCAGCTGGAGTTGCAGGTTTTTACTATCTCTTAGGGTGAGACCTGCTTTCTGCCATGGTCTAATTCTTGTAATGCCAGCATAAGGATATTCATAATAAACTAGGAAGGATCTTATGCAAAGAAACATAAGAGAGGAATTTATATTCATATCGGCAGTATACTTTTCTTATGCAAGCTGAGAGGCAAGGAGTTAGATAACCTATGGTATATAAAGGAGGAAATTGTTTCTGACAGTGTCTCTTGTAACTATTTGTCCTTTGGTATTGGTGATAGGAATGTCACATCTGTAACAGCTCAAGGTCTGTATAATAGAGTTAATCCCTTCAGGGAACATGAGGTTACTGAAAAATTGCCGGATCAGAGCATGTTTTATTTTGGGGGGGAGCTATGCAAGTTGAGAGTTGTAGTAAAATTTATACACTCCTTCCATTTTCTCCCATCTTCTGTCTCTTAGGCCCCAGACCATTGTGAAGATAGCCTGGCCTACACATGCAACAAATGAGCCGGTAGAATACATTCTACTGTTACTCACCAAAGGTGTGGGGGGGTGCCACTTTTGTATGCCCCCCCCATGAAAAGCTTTCAGAAAGAAAATTAGCAAAGCTTGGAGTGGATTAGGTTAAAAGCTTTGTCCTTGATTATTTTAAATATTGTCTACAGAGAGGTTTTTCCCCAGTGGGGAGCACTCAAAAATGGAATCCCATGTCCCTCCTCATCTGCAGTTTGAAATGGTTAAGTCCATTCAGCTACCTCAGGACCCTACCTCATTCCGCTGTATGTGTAAGGCAGGCTGATTATTCCTGGACTGATAAGGCTTCATTGCTTCAAATTCATTATTTGTTTTTAAACTCATCCTCATGATGTTTCTCTTTGTGTTGCAGCTAATCTGCATCTATAGGTATCTGTAGTCCAATATATGTGTCCTGGCATCCTCTGCCAGAAAGCAAAGGATCCAGGAGCACATCTCTTTGACCGCAGGCTGCTTTGCTAGTGCGCACCCATGCACAATTGAGTTGGCCCTAAGTTTGTCTACCTTCAAGCTTCTCTTTCCTTAGTGCTTGCTACACATCTTGTCTGTGCTATATTACTGTGCAGATCTACGTCAAACCTTATATCAACTCCAGTGTTGTTTTTTATATAAAAAAATGGAAATAATGTAATAATTAATTCTTATCATCTCTTGGTTAGATACAAAGAAAGAAAAATCTTAATGTTTGCAATATTTTGTTCGAATGAATGAAAAGTTGTTTTTTTTCAGAAAGGACTTCATTTATTTTCAGGTTGCTGGACGGCCCTTTAATAATTCTGTCTGTTATTTCCCACACTTCATTAGGTGGCTGGATTTGTCCAGCGTCTTCCTGGTTGCAAGGATCAGGCTGCTCTCTTCCGACAAGAGGTAATCCAGTGCTGTCTATGTAATGTGAATGGCAGGCTACATCATCTTGCTATCTGTTCCATTTGGATAATTTGTGGCACTTGGAGGGGGATATTGAAAAGAAGAAAAATCAAAACAATGCACCAAAGTTAGCCACATCAAGTTCTGAGAAAATTCTCATTCCACAAATGCTTTGTATTGTGGAAATTAAGTAGATTGGCATATTCTGGTCTTTCTACGTAATTCTGCTTTCTTACTCATTGGAGGAAGATGTGATATAGAGCAGGGCTAGCTAACTTTATGCCATTCCAAAGCTGGGGGGACTATATCTCCCACCATCCCTGAACCATGGTAGCAGGGACTAATGGGAGTTGGAGTCCAACAGCATCTGGAGTCCAACAGCATGTTGGTGAGTACTGGCACCTTTCTTTCTAGAAGAAAAGCACTGCTCATTTGGCATGTAGTGGACAGCTTTCTGATCAGGCTGAAATGAAACCAAATTGAAGAAATATCCTCTCTGCGAGACTTTGGCTAAGAAAAAGATGTTGGTGACAGAATTGCTGAAATCTGCTTTAATAGTCCATTAGCAGCAGTTGAGCTGCCCAGACACACCATATTTAGGTACATAATTCTAGAGATGGTAGGCTGTTGTGCTTTTATTTTAATTTTTATTTACTAAATGGCCATAGCTGATGTGAGAACAAATTGTGCAAGCTATGTAAAAAGGTAGCCAAGTAGATTGGGTAAAGCTGCTAGCGATCTGCAGCCAGAGAATTATGCCGGTATGGGGGCCAACAGTCTGAAGAGATCTTTCTGAAACTTGAATAGCTTGGTAGTAGTTAGAACTGAAAGGAATGAAAGAATCCAAAAGCTTTCTGCATTGTTTTCTCAATATAAATCGAACTTGATCAAACATTCATTCTTTGTTTCTGAACACACACATTTTCATAGAATCATAGAATTGTGAAGTTGGAAGGGATCCCAGGGGTCATCTAGTCCAGTGTTTCCCAACCGGTGTTCCGCGGCACACTTCTGTGCCGTGAGACATCGGTTGGTGTGCCGTGGGAGGGAGGCGGGCGAGAGGCGGCGGCGGCGAGGATCCGGCGGGGGTGGGGGGAGCGGGGGCCGTCGCGCGCAACCGAACTCACTTGGCGCGCTGCTGGCTTGTCCTCCTTCAACCCGGGTCGGGCCAGGCCTGCTCACGTCCCCGGATCCCCTAGCAGCAGCCGCACGCTCTCCAAAAGCGCAACGCTGCGCGCAACCGCTCGGCCAGCTGGTGCTCTGCGACTCCGCCCTTTCCCCTCCCAGCGCCGGAGGGTTCGCGCGACCGCAGCTGTTCCCTTTCGCAGCGCGCGGGAAACAATTCCAGGCCGATTGCCTTGTGCCGAAAAGCACCGCCTCTCCTTCCAGCTCAGGCCCGGGCCGCCGGCTCCCCGAATGACGTCACGGGGGCGGGGCTTTAATGGTGGTGTGCCGCGAGATTTTTTTCCGGTAAACAGGTGTGCCGTTGCCCAAAAACGTTTGGGAAACACTGATCTAGTCCAACCTCCTGCAATGCAGGAATCTCAGCTAAAGCATCCATGACAGATGGCCATCCAACCTTTGCTTAAAAACCTCCAAGGGAGGAGAGTCCACAACCCCCTGAGGGAGACCATTTCACTGTCGAAATGCTCTTAATGTCAGAAAGTTTTTCTGTATGTTTAGTCGGAATCTCCTTTCTTGTAACTTGAAGCCATTGGTTCAAGCCCCACCCTCCAGAGCAGGAGAAAACAAGCTAGTTCCCACTTCCTTGAGATATTTAAACATGGCTATCATATCTCCTCTCAGTCTCCTCTTTTCCAGGCTAAACATACCCAGCTCCTTCGGCCTTTCCATACGCTTGATCATCTTGGTTGCCCTCCTCTGTACACGTTCCAGCTTGTCAACATCCTGCATAAATCATGGTGCCCACAATTCTAGAAACCAAGGAGCTGGACTTGCCAAAGTGACTTGCCAAAGGATAGTGTGGACAGAGAACTTTCTGACTCCTGGGCTGAAGCCTTTGATGCCCAGCTGTACTGTACAATTAAATTAGCATCCTATTTAGCTGATTACTAGTTTCCAACTTTTTAAATGCAAGTCAAAACTTTTTCATCGATCTGTTCAAAGCTTTAATCCTCTTTAAATAAATTAGCATAAGCTATCATTTGGGGGGCATTAAGCTCTTGACCTTCATCATATTGAGCTGCAGTAGAATTTCACTGTGTGTGTTGGGCAATGATTGTAGGGATACTTATTTTTATATTACTGTTTTATATAAGCTCTTATATAACGAATTTTCATTGCTACTCTTCAAAGTCTTTTACAATGGGTATTTCCCCCCCCCATTTCCTCAGTATCATTTGCATCTTCCCATCTTTCCCACATATAGATGGAAAGTTGAGCTGGCAACTTAAACTATGTATTCGTACTCGATCCTGCTCAACTAAACCCCAATCGCACACTACCAACTTTAAATTTGCAGTCTTTGAATGTAACTATTCATAGTCTGTGTATTAAAAGAAAGAATTGCTGAAGATGTTATTCTGTTGTACCTCTCTAATCATTCTCTTTTGGGTATCTAACCTGTCCTCATTCCACCAGGGCAAGCTGCAGCCCAATGGTAGTTAAAGTACGCTGGTGCTTCCGTTGCTGGAAGACTAGTCACTGCTCTGTGCTTCCTGAGCAACACTTCAACAGCACATTAGCAACATGCTGGGCTTATATAGCTCAGTTGGTAGAGCATGAGACTCTACCAGGGAGTTGCACCAGATGACCCTCATGGTCCCTTTCAACTCTACAATTCTATGATTCTAACATTACAAACCAGTCATTTGTTTTATTGTAAGCAATAGCCTTCAAAATATAGCATCAAACACACAAAACATGCATCATTTAGTAACAGCAGATAAAAACTAACCACACTGGAGAAGAAAAACGACAGGTCTTGGGTATTCTTCCTATCACCCCCACTGTCTACTACATTCCTGTCTACAAAGCTCCTTCTAAGTTTAGCCACTGAAACCGCAAACAAAGCTGCTTTGAAAATTATGCATTTGTCTACATCATTTAACAAATATGTAAACTTAACACTCCAATGGTCAGCCTATTATTCTGGCCAGAAAATGGATCCAGCAATTCCTTACTAGGAGTGATTTAGAAACAAAACAGTCCATACATGAATGGGCTCCTCAATAGCTGCTGGCCTAAAAGGGCAAAGCTTTCCTTCACAAGTAAGGTTGCCATACATCCGGGATTTGGCTGTTGGAAACAGTATCTGGCCAGAAATCGCTTAAATGTCCAGGAAAATCCTGATGTATGGCAACCCATGTCAGAAGTGTAGATTTTGGTGAGTTTCCTTAAAAATAGCTCAAAAACTTCTTTTTGAGATCTTGCAAAAGAAAAGAAAGCTCAACTGCATGCACAAGGCGCATCACATTTCTGCCTTAACAATTGAAGATTCCATAGTTTGCATTTGAAAAGAGAGAGAGAAGACTTAAAAATAACACTACAAGAAGGACAAATATAGCAAAAGCAGCAACCATTTCCCTGGACTCCTAAGCAATTGCACAACTACTGACAATTCATAATACAGTAGTACTTCCGGTTGCGGACGGGATCTGTTCCAGAGCTCCAGTTGAATCCCCAAGGTTTCCGCAACCGGAGGGACCGCTTCTGCGTAAGCACGCGTGGCAAAAACCCGGAAATATACTTCCGGGTTTGCCGCTTATGTGTCCCGAAGTTTACGTAAGAGGAGGTACTGCTGTATGTCTCATGGATAACGTTCCTATCAACTCTACATAGAAAGCACCAATCAGCATCACAGATGTAGAGCGTTAGCAGCACATGTACTAAGGTTGGAACAGGGTTGTTCATCTGTGAAATATTGTTTCCTCATGTGGGTTGTTCCTCCCACTTGCTCTGGGGCATAAAAATTAGAAGATTTTATCCCTTCCACTAGAAAGCAGCCCTCTCCATTTCTGAATGCTGGCAGAACTTGAGGTGAACTCTGCTTTTCGTTTCTTTTCACTGCAGATAGAAGCCCCCCCCCCATTTCCCCTGCTAGGTCCAACCATGGTCTGTCAGGAAAGCAAGGGGGTTATTGTTGAGGAGTAGTAACAGACACACCACCCAGTCACCTCAATGCAACACAGCCAAGTGGGGTGTGTAGTGAGGCACCTCTAAAGAGAATTTTGGGTGACCCCTTATACAACCACCTTAAAGTTAGCATAGTAATTTAGGGATGGGGAACCTTGGGCTTGGGGGCCAAATGCAAGGACTCTTCCCATGCTTCTGGCTTGCCTGGATGGAGGAGAGAGGAGTGTGTTTAAAGCTAGCCTACTATACAGAGGTAAATTTCATATTTGTTGCTCTGCCCACTTTAGCCTCTGGCCTGCCCACCACTGGTATATCACCCCTGGAAGGTTGCCCAGAAAGCATTGCGCAGCCCTCAGGCTGAAAATAGTTCACTGCCCCTTGCAGTAAGGGAAGGACCTTGAGACTGTTTCAGCATATACCATATATATAATGAAGCACCATTTCTCTGTTGAATTGTAAAGTACAAAAGCTTCTCAGACATTGGTTCTGTTCTTACCAAGCAATGTATGAAGCTCCCTTAAACAGGGACTAACAACTGCTTTCGGGTCTCCGATATATAGAGTTCTTCCCCAGCTCCTGCTTCAGCTGCTTTTGACTGGGGATGCCAGGAATTGAATGAGAGACCTATGGTGTGAAGGCATGTGAACGCTTGGACACTTCCCCACCACAAGAACTTTTTAAAGTAGCCATTTCTATTCAGGCGCTTAGAGTCTGTAACCCTGTCGTCCCTTACAGAAAGCAGCCACCTGCAAAAGATCTGAAGTACACTAAAGGATACTGCTTGGAAAAAGCTTACCAAGGGTGTAATTGATTATCCTATCAAATGTCATTCTTAGTGCCCTTCCCATGCTGTGTTAATTTTAAGCATATGGAAGCTGGATTGTCCCAGCCATAATATTGACTTTCTTTTTATTTTCCATCCACCAGCAGATCGATGGTGAAGCCTTCCTTCTCCTGAACCAGTCAGACATTGTTAAAATTCTGAGTATCAAGCTGGGGCCAGCACTTAAAATATACAATGCCATCCTCATGTTCAAGACTGCAGAAGAAGACTGAAGCAGCCCCTCCAGGACCAGTCTGAGCCAGGAGATCAGAGCTGGGAAAGGCCTTCAAAGAACAACTCAGCAGCAGAGATCCATGTTACTGAATATTGAGCAGGTCGGGACCTTGGAAAGGCAGTGGTCTAATTGCATTTCAGACTCTGGAACCTGCTGAAAGGATCCCAAAGAAGTACAATCCCTTCTGCCACTTGGAATGGATTTAGTGGCTTCCCTTCTAGGAAGAGATTATTAATTGTGTGTTTTTTTCTAATTGAATATGGGTATGGTTAAAGTGATCTTTTGTGAAGATCTTGATGATGCCTCCAGTTATAAGAGGAATCCCGGGTATTGCTATTGGTGGGGAGCCAAACTGACTAACCTGTTGATAGTGCCTAAAAGAGAATCCAAGTTATCACTGACGTCCATGACGACTTCTTTGTGTGCAGAACTTGGGGATAGGCTTTAAGGGAACAAGGAAAGAGACAGATTCTTCAAAGCACTGCTGTTGAAATCCTCATCAAACACCTGTGCTTTTTCCAAACTAGTTTTGAATTTTTATTCTCTTTCAGCTATTCAAGCACTGGCAATTATTATTTTGGTCTAGCAGGATTTGGCAGGGAGTAAGGAGTGCCAGGAATGAAGTCTGACTCCATACCATTGATTATCAAGCTATTATACCTGCACTTCAAGCTGTGCAATTGCAGAGGTTATGAGATGAAATGAAGATAGGTCTAATAAAGGCTATGGGGAGATTCCAACAAAAGATAAGTCAATCACTTGGGTGGAGGGCTCCCCTAATTGAACTGTAGGAAAACCTCTGGAGAGTCATAACGAAACTACTAGAGTATGTTTTAAATGTTTCCATCTCCCTGTGGTTCAGTGCAAGGAAAGTTTAGGGATGCCACATCCCTCTCTGTAGTGATCTTTCTGAGGCAAGAATTGTTGGAAAGAATCTGGAATCCCCACTCTGAAGCATTTTGTTTTGAAAGCACAGCGGGTTAATAAACAGGAGTACCACAGGTGGTGTGGACCACTTAAGCACAAAGGAGCCAAACGTACAAGCTACTAAGGACTGCTGCCTCGCATCCTCCATTCAGTTCAGTAGTAGTCTTAGATTTTAGAATGATATCTGCATGCTTTGCTGTACAGCAGACCAATCTCTGGGAGCTTTTGTTGAAATGCACAGGACCATATGGGCAGATGAAAAAATAAGTGGGGGGTGGGTGGGATGCAAGGTGCCAAAAGAGAGCAATTTTACACAGATCTTCACTGGGGAAGGCAAATTCTGAAAATGAGCTCAGTTTGTCTATGGAGACATTGCCTTTACACCTGCAGCAGGCCATGTAGTCCATATTTCTGTTTCTGTCCCCTAATTAGCAGTCCACACTGTACAATAATATTGGTAATGTAGGCAGTCATTCTCACTTCTTCAACCCCTGCCCCATCAAAATACAGTATAACTTGGGAAGGGCACATGCTCTAATGTTCCTCCCTTCAGATGTGGAAGAGCTTATGAACCCTCTCATATAACTCCTCTCTCTCTCTCTTGCATGCACATCAAAGTTACCCCTCATTCACTGCCCTGGTGTTTAGCAGACAATAGAATCCCTTGGACTAGTGTCTCATCTAAAGCAAGCCAAGCCTTCTGTTTATTTAATGTGAAGCCATTTTTAGGGTTGATAACTGTTTAAACTTGAGGGAGTAAAAGGGAACTTCTGTATAGCATAGCAAGGATACTGCTCTGTTGTTAGTGTCTTACATCGTTGACATGAAGAATGTGAGCTGGCAAAGGATGCTCTTTCTGTTGGTCAGTGGTGATATGTCTTTCTCTCCTTCTAACTTACCTTATAAGCAAATGTGTGACATTTCTGTGAAGAATGGTGTCAAGCTTTCCGTTACATCCACTTCACATACATCTCTCTCCACTTTTGATCTCCCAACTATTTAAGAGTCTCTGTAACCTTCCTAAAGTCAAGATGACATAAGACTTGTAAATAGTCCACAATCCAGGCTGCTGAGTCTGAACAGTATTTAATAAATCTGCAGAGGCAATATGTCTCATAGCTTTCTATTTTTGTATAAGAAGCTAAGGAGTTTAAGCCTTCTACGTAGAAGAGCTATCATTGAAAGAGTGTGATAGAGAGAATCTCTATTAATACTTGAGAGAGACAACAGAAGACAGGATGCCACATGACTGTTGCTGTAAAAGAGATATTCCACATAACTTTTATGGTGCTGGGTAAGAGAGGCATTTTAAAAAATACATAATCTTATTTTATAAGAGAGTATATTTTCCAAAGGACATTTTCATCTTAGTTTTCTCTATGTATATTTCTGGCAGATGAGAAGAAACAATGGGCACCTTTAGCAGGGCAAAATTAAGGCCACATATATGCAAATTATAACTGCAAGTTGCACATTCATGCAGTAAAACAGTTCAGGATATTGGTTAAATGTAAGCAGAACTTTTGAGGGAAGCACTCAGTCTAACCGGCGAGCAAGAAACATGGAAACAGGCTTCTTGCTTTTTTATTTTCTTGTTCTTGAACTGACTCTCAGGGCAACTGTGTACACCTTGTAGTTTCTAAGCGCGGGAACACTCCCATGGATCCCTCATGCAATTGGAAATGTAGCATGGAAGTATCAATTAATGAAAAATGTGAGGACTGCCTAGCCGCTCCCAGTGATCAGATGGAGCACTCCTGTGTTTGTCATGCAAGAGGAAAACAGCCCTTGATATCCATGACTGAGAAGATTCAGCAAGGTTCTGCAAGTTACTTCTCTGCATAGATGTGAGGAAGGTTTGTTTATTTTTGTAGGGCTCAGGAGCGAAGTGCTAATTTATCCACCAAAAGGGGGCTTTAGGTTGAGGAATGCTTCCTGTCTCACTTCTGTGGTCATTGCAGCAGTGCAACCACGTGGCACAAAAACCAAATCCAGGTTCTTTGGCAAAAGAGTGTGCTTTCCAGTCAGCACACACCAAAACTAGTATATACTGAGCTTATACAGACAACAAATGTCAAGGCATCAACATCTTTAAAGAGGGATGAATGCAGCAGCCAGAATCTAGGTATAAAATTTCACCAAACAGGAACTGAATTGTTGGGGGGCTCTTAGACAGGTAGGGTAGGAGAAAACATGAACCCTTTTATGAAGAACAAATCACAAGACAGGATGGTGAGCAGCAGAGGAAAAGAAAAGCCAAGCGAGAATAAACCAGAAGATTTTGTTCTACTCTGCTGTTAACCATAGTTTTGCAAAGTCAGACTTTTTAATCTGTTATTTAGTTGTTGCTCTTCTCATTTCTGTATAGAATTCAATTTACCCATATCTTGCCTATAATTCCTCTAGGCTGGAGCTGTCCTGCCAATGCACTTCTGGCATAGCATAGAAGAAATCTTCTCCCAGGAGACACAACACGGAGAATAAGTTTCCACATTATTCTTAAGCCCAATGGCCACACAAGGAGATAGGAAGTGATGGCACTGTCCTCATATCAGCCAGGCTTCCCTCTCCTTTTTATCTTTTTCTTTTTGTCAACCATCTGAATTAAGGTTTCATTCCCTACATGCTATTAATCCTATATAAATGCTAAGGTGGTTTCTTGTCAGCAAGGAAGTACTCTGGAAGTGTATATTTAGATTGCATGTCTCTACTTTTAAAACTCATTTGAAGAAGTGGGGAGACCTGAAAGAGCTTTTTGATAAAAGCTGCTGCTGCTGCTTCTTTCAAAGGTTTTCATTTCATTTCAGTCAGACTGGATCTTTGTCTTAAAGAACAGCGATTTTTATTAATCCCTATGCATTCACTATGATACCCGTCACTCCGTAAGTGACACGGTTTAAGGATTGCTCTTCATGAGCTAGCAAAGCAAGGACAGAAGGTCTCAGTTCTAAATATTTATGTAACTGATGTGTCATGTTCTGCCATTCTAGCTTTGTTTTAGAAAACCAAACTTGGTTTCTTCCTTTATCACCACCACCCTTTTCCCCTCAGCAGGAAATTGTAGTTAAAAAATTTCCATGCCATCACAAACTATCATCCTCGTAATCCGACAGTAGTAGATTTCAGCTCAGGGTAATGAATCATACCAGAAGCCGCACAGAAGCGCTCAGTGACAGTGATAGCCGAAATGTTACAAGCGAGGAAGAAAAATATTCAGCCCAGGGGATAAGCGAGTTTGGCTGTGAGACGACTTGCGTGCCGCTTCCATGCCTTGGTAAGGGATTTATGCCAGAGAAAGCTTTAAAGTTTTTGACATTCTATCATGTGATGATGAGCAAGTTTATTTTTGAAACAGTCTATTACTTGAATTAGACATGCATGCAAAAGCAGGGAAGCTCTTGGTGGAATTTTGATTTTCAGTGTTCAGAATTATTTCACTATTTTAAATCTTTTTTTTTTAAAGGCCTTGAAATGTTTGCTATTCCCCCCCCCCCCAATCTGTGCATTGCTCTGAAGATGTGAATAAAACACATTGATTCAAAATGCCTGTTCTGACTTGGACTTGTTCCATGGGCTTCTCTGGTCTCTCTTTCCAGGTCTGGGCCACATTTTGAGTGGCCTGACATCACTTTTCTGCATCAGTATTATCTACACTACTTGTACTAGTGGAAATGCAAGAAGCAGGGCCAGCCCTGGGGGCCAGTATTCCCAGGTAGCTCCTGAGGCCCCAACATTTAGTTGCAACTCACTAGCACCATGCATCACTGCTCACCTGCCAACTCTTGCTCACAACCTTCTCAAGCCACCAAGCAGTGAGTAGCAGCAGTGATCTGGTGGAAGCAGTGAAGATTTGACAGGCTTGTGGAATGGGATAGCTCACTAGGGGCATCTTGCTGAGCATCCCACCCCCCTCTGCACTGCTGCCCAAACCCTGGAGCCTGACCCTGAGAAGCAACATTGTGGTTCTCTAGAACAAGACTGTCACCAAACAACACGTGTTCAAAAGTTCCAAGTACGCCTCTACAACAGCAGGGTGTGAAATTACAGGCTGTGCGCTGCATGGCCTGTTAGTGTCCATGTGTGCAATTAAGGACGCGGGTGGCGCTGTGGGTTAAACCACAGAGCCTAGGACCTGCCGATCAGAAGGTCAGCGGTTCGAATCCCCACGACGGGGTGAGCTCCCGTTGCTCAGTCGCTGCTCTGGCCAACCAAGCAGTTCAAAAGCACGTCAAAGTGCAAGTAGATAAATAGGTACCACTCTGGGGGGAAGTGCATGGCGTTTCCGTGCACTGCTCTGGTTCGCCAGAAGCGGCTTGGTCATGCTGGCCACATGACCCAGAAGCTGTCTGCAGACAAACACCGGCTCCCTCGGCCATTAAAGCAAGATGAACGCCGCAACCCCAGAGTCGGTCACGACTGGACCTAATGGTCAGGGGTCCCTTTACACCTGCAATTAAGATGTATCCAGAAATTTTAGATCTTTAATTTTGAAATACGGTAGGGAGGGGGAGCTCAAAGTAAATATTTAAAAGGGAACACACATGCACACCAAAGGCACACCAAATGACTCTGTTTACCAAGAGCAGTTACGGTTGTGGGGAACCTCAAGTTCATGAACCAAATAGTGCAGTTGTTCTCTTTCTTTCTTTCTTTCTTTCTTTCTTTCTTTCTTTCTTTCTTTCTTTCTTTCTTTCTTTCTTTCTCTCTATCCCTCTCTGCCTTTGCATCTCCCCCCTATTTTTCTCTCTATCCCCACCTCCACCCCCTCTGTACTTTAAACCAAACTTTATAAGTGGCTAGCACAATAATCCCCGGAGCTATCTGAAAGTTGTCAAGGCTAATCCCCTCTTGAGAGGTTACCATGTTTCCAAATGTCATACACATGGGTGAAAAAACAAAGTTACAGCTGTTTTGGCTTCCCAATGCTTGTGTGTAAAAAATTCAGATTTCCAGATCAGGTCTGGATCCAGATTGCAAACCAGCATTATGTTAGGGGAAATAGCTTGCAAAAACATATTTCTATTAGGCAAAAATGTATATATTAGGACAGGGGTGTCCAAACGTTTTTCAAAGAGGGCCAGATTTGATGAAGTGAACATGTGTGAGGGCCGACCAAAGAGCCGACCACAGCTTTTTTTACAATTTTACCCCAGAGTTGTTGGGCTTTTTTTTAGTATTGAAGTTCTTGAGCTACCACAGGGGCCAGATTAAACTGACCAGCGGGCTGGATTAGGCCCCCAAAACGGGCTTTGAACATGCCTGTTTTAGGATATATATATATATATTTCAGAACCTCATCCACTATAAATAGCCCTCTGGTTTCTTTAAGTTGTTTCCGATCAGTACCACAAGAGGGTATCTTCCTATTTTTTCCTATTGTACCTGCCCTCTGCAGGTGTGGGCTCAACTTGGTGATAACAGAATAAACAGTGCAAGGAGGGAACTGCAGTCCAAGATAGAAAAAGAGGTGGTAAGGGGTGGAGACGCTCCTTCAGGTATACTGGGCCGAGGCCGTTTGGGGCTTTAAGGGTCAGCACCAACACTTTGAATTATGCTCGGAAACATACTGGGAGCCAACGTAGCTCTTTCAGAACTGGTGTTCTATGGTCTCGGCGGCCACTCCCAGTCAGCAGTCTAGCTGGTGGATGTCATTTCCAAATGGTGAAAATATATCCCTAAAAAGCTTTCCAAAAAAAATATGTTGTGTGGTTTTGTTTCTCTTTTGTTGTTGTTGATTATGATTATCATTTCCCTTCCTGACCCACATATTCTCCCAGCATCAAATCTACACTACTCTGGAATAAATCAAATACTGAGACATCACCAAAGTGCAAAGTTGTGCAGCATAGCTTATTTTCTGAAAGATGATCTGCATCCATAGGCTTTTATGAGCTGGGCCTGCAGCAAGCTAGGCTTTTATCCAAAATGGAACAATTCCACCCCCCGCCAAAAAATATGTCTAGACATTGCATCCTTGATAACTCATGTGGGAGTTCTCGGTTAAGAGTTCACTGAAATATGCTCAATCTGTGGGTGTTTCTAATTTTGTTCTGATTATAACTGACTGGGGGGGGGGGCTTCGATTTCTTTGTGAATGAATTTCTAGCAT